AGAGAGAGAAACAGAGAGAGAGAGAAACAGAGAGAGAAAGAGAAACAGAGAGAGAAAGAGAAAGAGATAAACAGATAGAGAGAAACACAGAGAGAAAGAGAAACAGAAAGCAAGCTAGAGCGAGAGTGAGAGTGAGAGAGACACGCTGAGGATCTGAAGATTGTGGATCTGAACAGGGCTGTACATTGTCCTCTCTCTCCTAACAGATGTTATCTCACTCACTAATTGGCCAAGCAGTGTTTCTCAATATGCATACTACCGTGCTCCACACTCTCATTCTCTGAGTGCATTCTCTGACCACGTTCTCTTGAGTACGTTCCTGTGAGGACGAGAGTGTGGCGAATGCATAAAACAATACATTTGAGAAGCGCTCGTACCCCTACTGTATTACCTCACGCTTCACCTCCCCATTCACTGAACCTTCTTCCAGCCAGGAAAATGGCAACAATATACGAAACAAGATATACACAAAGCAAACGTTTTACTTCATAATTATCAGCTAGATATGTGAATCGTAATAATCTAGCTTTCCAGCTAGTTAAACAGGCAAAAATTACCTAAAACATATGTTATGCAAGGTAGATGTACATTTTTCATGGGTAGCTACAAATTCTTTGTGGCTAGTTAGCTAGCCAGTTAGCCCTATTGACTTACTATGGACTTACCCATTCACTGAATCATCTTCCATCCAGGACAACAATGGCAATAGAGACGAAACAAGATATACACAAAGCAACCTATATCAGCTAGCTATATGTGAATCGCAATAATGTAGCTAACCAGATAGTTTAACAGACAAAAATGACCTAAAACTAATATTATGCAAGATATATGTAAATTCTTCGTGGGTAGCTAGCTAACAATTATTTGTGGCTATCTGGCTAGCTAACAGTATAAGTAGCTAGCCAGTTAGCCCTATTTACTAATTATGGGCTTGCAATATACGGTACGTAGGCAGGTAAACATGCCAAAATTAACACAGCATGTATTTATTAACGTATCAAGATAAAAAATATTGTAGCCAGGCAACATATGAGATGTGAATAGGAAACATTTCAGTTTCAAAGCTAATTTCCTGCAATTCTACACATTGCCCCATGGGACAGAGAGAAACATTTCAGTTTCAAAGCTAATTTCCTGCAATTCTACACATTTTGCCATGGTACAGAGAGAAACATTTCAGTTTCAAAGCTAATTTCCTGCAATTCTACACATTTTCCCATCGTACAGAAAGAAACATTTCAGTTCCAAAGCTAATTTCCTGCAATTCTACACATTTTCCCATGGTACAGAAAGAAACATTTCAGTTCCAAAGTTTCAAAGCTAATTTCCTGCAATTCTACACATTTTGCCATGGGACAGAGAGAAACATTTCCGTTTCAAAGCTAATTTCCTGCAATTCTACACATTTTCCCATCGTACAGAAAGAAACATTTCAGTTCCAAAGCTAATTTCCTGCAATTCTACACATTTTCCCATGGTACAGAAAGAAACATTTCAGTTCCAAAGTTTCAAAGCTAATTTCCTGCAATTCTACACATTTTCCCATGGGACAGAGTGTCACGGTTCTCTAAGACCGAACCCAGAAGCAGACCAGGACAAGGTGAGTTGAACGAATGTGAGTGTTTATTTACAGATAAAAAGATGCAGAATAGTCCAGGAGGCGGAGCGGGTGGCGGAGATGAGTAGGTGGTGGTGAAGTGGCAGATGAACTGATGGCACGGCAGGGGTTGGGTGAAGGTTCCGGGAGAATGACTGTAGACAGAAAAAACGGAGGTAAGTACAAGGCAGGTCAACAAGGTGCAAAAAACAACACAACTAACGCTAGTACTCAGAGGCTGATACGCTGGCAAAACATACTGTTTATGGCTAACGATCCGGCAGGGAATGGATGTCAGGTCAGAGCTTATGAAGGGGTGATGATCAGGACCAGGTGTGCCGAAGCTGATGAGAAGCAGGTGCGGGTAATCGAGAGATCACCCGCCTAGCAACGTCGCCCAGCAACCGGACAGGGTGCGTTCAGGCACCTTCGGGAAACAGGAGATTCAGAGCAGAAAAACGGCAACACAGGCAGGAACAGACTCAGGACTTAGGGTTCATGACAGTACCCCCCCCCCCCTCCGACGAACGCCACCGGGCGGACTACCCGGAGCGCCAGGATGGAAGCGGTAGAAGTCACGAAGGAGGTCAGCATCAAGGATCTGACGCCGAGGAATCCAACTCCTCTCCTCAGGACCATACCCCTCCCAGTCCACGAGATACTGGAAACCCCGGCCCCTCCGTCTGGAATCCATGATGCGGCGCACCGTGTAGACAGGACCTCCTCCGATCATCCGAGGAGGAGGAGGAGGAGGAGGAGGTGGAGGGGGCAACAGAGGGCTGAGGAGAACAGGCTTGAGGCAGGAGACATGGAAGGTGGGATGGGACTCTGAGCGTACTAGGCAACTTGAGTCGAACCACAACAGGATTAATCACTCTCTACACCACAAACGGATCAATGAACCTCGGCGACAGTTTCCTTGACTCAGTCCGCAGAGGAAGGTCCTGTGTAGCCAACCAGACCCTATCTCCGATTGCATAAGCGGGGGCTGGAATACGGCGACGATTCGACTGGAGCTGATACCGGTCAGAAACTCTAAGGAGGGCCTTTCTGGCCCGATGCCAGGTCCGGTGGTAACGACGAATGTGGGCCTGGACAGAGGGAACCGAGAGATCTTTCTCCTGAGAAGGAAACAAGGGGGGTTGGTAGCCGTATAGGCACTGGAAGGGAGACATCCCAGTGGCAGAAGTAGGGAGAGTATTGTGAGCATTCTCAACCCAAGGCAACTGAGAGGCCCAAGAGGTGGGGTTGGAGGAAACAAGGCAGCGCAGCGTGGATTCCATCTTCTGGTTGGCTCTCTCCGCCTGTCCATTAGATTGGGGGTGAAATCCAGATGTGAGACTGACTGTAGCTCCAATGGCCAAACAGAAGGATTTCCAGACAGCAGAGGTGAACTGAGGGCCACGGTCGGAAACTATGTCACTGGGCAATCCGTGGACCCTGAAAACCTCCCTAACCAGGATCTTGGAAGTCTCAGAGGCAGAGGGAAGCTTGGAGATGGGCACAAAGGGGGACTTGCGAATCGGTCCAATCAATGACGTCCCCCGAAACAAC